AGTCCACATTATAGCACCGGTTGTTCCAGTTATTCAGGTCATTCTGGATGTTCCGGTTGTTCAGTCTCTTAGGTTTTTATATATATAGATGTATATGGTTGGTGGGGTTTTTTTGTTGTTTTGTTGTACCATGGTGGTTAAGATGTTTCTACTGTCTAGCTTTGCTAATATACTTTTCTGTGGAACTGACTATCCACAGTATGTGAGGGCCTAATAATCTGAAGCCTTTTGAGGTTAGAAAAGCTTAATGCTCCTTCGCAAGCCAAGTTTGGTGCCAGAGAAAGCAAGAAGGTGGAACATCTCCCCTAACTGTGCATAAGTTTAGGTCTGAGCATCCTCACTCACTGCATCCATTTCAAACACCTTAGATTTTGCATTAGCAGCCAGATAAAGAGGGGAAGGATCACCAAATTTTTAGAAAACTGTATTTTCAAATATTCTCAAGCGTGGCCAGTAACTAACTGTTGGCGATCCTTAAGCTCTAGTGTTGAGGGAAGAGACTGACTTTGTCCTCCTGGGCATGCTGCTGGTCATTGTCGCGCAGTCATTAACCAACAATGACGAGGGTGTGGACTTGGAGGTATGATGGAGCTGTAGATAAAAACTTGCCTGAAGTTCACCATAACCCTTCATAATTACGTGAGCCAACAGATTTCCTGTACTGTTTGGATTTGGTTTTCTGTTTATTTCAAAAAAGATAAAAAGAGCAGCCTTTTGCTTGGAGCATGGAGGGAGTCAGTGTCAAAAGTAGATTTAAAAGTTCAATCAGATAAAGTGCACATCTCCTTTAGTGGAATTTTAGAAATTCAAGGATTTGGGGTGTATTCTTTTTCCAGCTTTTAGTGGCATTTCCAGAGATACTTTTATGCCCCAATGATCTTAGAGCCCCTCATAGTTTGGTGCCACAGCCAACTAACCTCCTGGACTTCCACTTAACCTGCCTCTGATGCTATAAAGTGTGCTCTGCCCAAAGGCCAGTGGATGAATTACAGTAGGATGCCTAGACTATAAGCCAAGTGGGCCCTTTAAAAAATGTATAAGGCCAAAATGAAATATTACCTCAAATACTGAGGCAGAGCAACACTGTCAAGACTCAAGGAGCAGTCGGGGTGAACCTACTCCTTGCTTTGAGCAGAGGCATGCACAACAAGAGAGTCCCTTGGTCATCCCAGTGTGAGCCAGTGAGTAGTTCTCATCTGAACATGATCTAAGGAGGGCATCATGCTAATGCAGACAATATCTGTGCTAATGCAGTAATTCCTTCCCCTGCCCCACTCTGCACCCCAGAAGCCATGAACCCTCTAGTCTAATTCCCAAGCTGGGAAGGGCCAGGGTAGACACTAGTGGGAGATGGAGGAGGAAAGGGGGAGAAGCCAGGGGATTTCTCTTGCTCCCTATCTGTTCCTGGCAATATCCGATACAATAGTTGAGGCTTTTTCAACTCCCCTCCAATGACCTTCACCTTTGCTCCTCACTTTGGCCCAAGAATGGTGATGGCTGCTAGTGTTAATCTGTGGGTTGTCTCCCAATCAGCTGTCCAGTATTTCATCTATGCCTTCCCCAGGGTAAAGGGTTTCTTGAATCAGGCTCCTGTTTTAAATACTCAATTTCCTTGAGTAGATCCTGACTAATACAGCATCGAACTCAGAGACTTAGTAGAGAGCTTCAGAAGGAAGGGTCCAAAATATACTGTCATATTGCTCTTCTATACCTGAAGGTTTTTAGTTTTACATTAAATCATATTATTTTCCCCTTGCATTATCAACATTTCTTCTATTTATCATTTAAAGTTACACATGAGCTTATAAATGGACTCTTTTGTTTTCTAGTTATTACATCCTGGCATAACACTTTACAAATACCATTTTATTATGTTCTACAGTTAAAAAGCCACCTGGATAGTCTCTCTTTTGAGTCTTTTTGTTAAACTATCTTTAAGCCCCCTTGCGTGTTTTTGTAATGTGTAACACAGTCTTGGTTACAGCAGAAATGTTTCAAAAGACTTGTGCAGCTGGAAACTTTTTGATGATTTCATTTTACAAGACCTTTGGAATGAACGTGGGCATTAAGAGGCACAATGAATACAATATCAGTTTAACAAGATTTGAGTGGCCTTGTTTTTACAGAAAAGTTAACATTTTTAGACACTGTGATTCCACCAGTGGCTTTCTCTATAGTGTTTAAAAAGTGGAATTTAGCGGACATATAAAATGGGGGGGAAATAGAAGAGTTGTCATAAATCTTTTTTACTAAAATGTTTTGTGATTGCTTCAGACAGAAACAAGATGAGAAAGTCCAGGTGCTATTTGTTAAAGTAGAGGACTGATGTTTCAGCATCTCCGAGGAATATAATGAAAGAAACTGAAGAACATAGGTCGCATATTTGATGTAACTTACCAGAAAAATCAGGTCCATCTGGCTTCTCCACAAGAAATAGGAATACATGAGGCCAAGGCAGAGAAAAGTGCATAGCATGACAGAATTCACCAGACAATCCCTCTGTGGCAGGCCCCAGTCTGCCCCTGTCCTGGCCACAATACTGCCCCATGTAGATCATAACAAGGCCCCATGTATATTGCAGAGGAGGCAGCTACTTGCTTTTGTGGCTACTTGCTGTGGTGGTCACATCAACCACTTGTATCACCAATGCCATCCCCCCAAAGAAGATCACATGGGCCAGAAAGGTGACAAAGACTTCTCTCGGATGCTTCTTCCTTAAACCTGTGCACTGATAAACACGAACAGACTTGATTGTTGAGTTGTGTCTTTGACCAACTAAACAAAGACTTTTTTCTCTTTAAAGTTTCTGGATTATAACCTCTGAAAAATACTTAAAGATTGTTTAATATCTTGACTTTTTAGAAAACGATATATTTCAAGACCTTTTATCTCAGTCTAGATCAGTGATTTTCAACCTTTTTCATCTCATGGAACACATAAACTACTAAAATTCTTCAGAACACCAAAAATATATTTTTTGCTGATCTGACAAAAAATAGGTATGGTTTAGATTCATTCATACCAGACAGCTATGGTTGTATTGGCTATTGTCATTTTTTTATTTTATTTTATGATCTAAGAGAAAATAGTTCAGTGCCCCTAAATAGTCAGGTTTTGTATGTTTTTAAAAATCTTGCAGGACACCGGTTGAAAATAGCTGGTCTATGTGATCTCTCTTTTAAATATCTGTGTGATAGTCTTTCACATAGAGACACTGTATTTGTTTAAATCAGTGCCATATTGGTGGACACTTTAGCATTTCCAGTTTTTGTCATGACAAACACTGTTGCAAAAACCATCCATGTACATTTTTCCTCAGTGACCTTTCTTGACTAATTTTATTAGATGCATTTCTAGCAGTAGGATTTCAGGGTCAAAAGGTATGTACATTTTACATGTTCATAGTTATTGTTATATTATCCTCTTGGAAAATCATGCCAATCTACTTTCATAGAAACATAATGAGGATGGTTCCTGGTCAATGCAGAATCCTCTTGTTTTCTGAGCATCTTAATGGGATGAGCTTGATGAACAAATTTAGAGGCAGAATTAAATTTTCCTGAATAATTTCAAGAGAAAGAAACTTGAAAGGAGAGGTATGAAATTCTGGAGGTCAAAGCCTGGAACAGTACTACTGTTTCAGAGATGTGATTCTGTGAGAGAAGGAAGGAAGAATAGCTTTCTTGAAACCACAGCACAAAAGAGATTCTGGAAAAGAGTAGGTCCAAGGGGCTTTCAAATACTGATGTAGGATGAGTGGTGAACATATCTCCTCTTCCCCTACCAAATTGTCAATAAACTGCACATCGATCACTAATTTTTTTAGTAAATTTATTTGGGGGTGCTCAACATTGAAGACAAGAAGACAGTAGGCATCTGAATTACAGTAGGATAATCACACTATAGAACATTTGGAAAGTCAAGAGAAAGGCAAGCAAAACATCCATGGTTCTGTAACTCTCACATAATTACTAGTACAATTTGAGTGGCCACCAATTTTTTTCACATGCATTTTTACATAGTTTTAATCATAGTATATATACAATTTTGTGTACTGCTCTGTAAATCTGATATTAATGGGTATGTGTATGTTATAAACAAAAATGCAAGATGGGCAAACAAAACTTTTATATCCTTTTACTTCTCTTTTACTTGCAAGTTTTATTGTGCTCAGAAGTAATCATAGACATATGTATACAGTGAATATTTGGGATTCTATTCTCAGGGCTGAAAGTTCATTGAATATGTTACAGGGATATTCCTGGAGACAAATATATGACAATAAGTAAGTTGTTGAGGACTATTGCTGTCACTTTCTATATTTAAGGAGACTTGACTGAAATACCTATTCTTTCAACTTTTACAAATATAAGCATTTTTTAAGATTTTTATTCTTGATCAGAGTAAATTAATTTAGTTAAAAATTATCTGATTATGCTGTCAGCATGAAAAGCAAGAAATTTTCTCACTAGGGTGTTGTTTTTCTAAAACATAGTTTTACTTACCAAATTTTATACCTTATATGACTTTGTATGTACTAATTTATGTATGAAATTAAATTAATTAAATACTTTTGCAAAGGAAATTTAGAATTTACTAGATACTTTGCTTGCATATTGCCAAATAACACACAAATCATGTTAACTATTTGGAGTGTAAATAATCATAGAGGTTGCTTAATAAATGTTTAGCATTAGATGATGAAAAAAGTTTTAAAAACTCGAAGATTGTTTTCATGACATATAAACAACAAATAATTATGTATTCTGCACAATACTTAGACTTACTAGACTTACACACTTATTGTTATAAAATTTAGGGTCCATTATAGGGTCATAACTTTCCAGTTTTAATAAAACTAGGACATTTTCTCAGGAAATGGAAAATTTACCTAGGACTAGACTACAAGTTAGGCCCTTTTATATTCTTTTAAAATATATATATTTTATTGATTTTTTTTTTTTTTTTTTTTTTTTTTTTTTTTTTTTTTTTTTTTTTACAGAGAGGAAGGGAGAGGGATAGAGAGTTAGAAACATCGATGAGAGAGAAACATTGATCAACAGCCTCCTGCACCTCCTACTCTGGATGTGCAAAGTAAAATAAGGCAAGCTGAAAAGGACAAATATCACATGATCTTGTTATTTGTAGAATCTAATGAACAAAATTAACTAACCAATGAAATAACTATCCCTCCTGCTGGCCTGGTTGCCCCATGCAGCCTGATCTTCAGACGTTTGGTTGTCCCTCACTAACCTTCCTCCCTTTCCCTCCTCCTCCTCCCCCTTCTCCGCCAGCCAGGTTGCCCCACACAGCCTGCTGTTCAGTCATCCATCTGGCCGTTTAGGTAGTGATGGCCCCCGGCTTTTTATATATTAGGATAGTAGTCCATAGTGTAAATGTCCCAGAGCTTTTTTATCCATTCATCTACTGATAGGCACTTGTGCTGTTTCCAAAAATAACACTGCTATGAACACATGGGAGGGAATATATTCTTCTTGAATGGTGTTTTTTTTGTTTTTTTAGCATATATTCTCAGTAGTGGGATTGCTGGGTCAACCAGAAGTTCCATTTTCAATTTTTTGAGAAAACTCCTTACTGTTTTCCATAGTGTCTTCATAAATCTGCATTCTCACCAAGGACCTAGTGTTCCCTTTTCTCCACATCCTCACCAGCACTTGTTGTTTGTTGATTTTTTTATGATAGCCATTCTGACAGGTGTAAGATTATATCATGTGGTTTTACTTTGTATTTTCTTGATGATTAGTGACTTTGAGAATTTTTTCATGTCTCTCTAAGCCATTTGTAGTCCTCTTTGGAAAAACGTCTATAAGATATTCTGCTCATGTTTTAATTGGATTGTTTATCTTCTTATTGTTGAGTTTTATGAGTATTTTATATTTTGGATATCAACCCCTTATCGAATATATTATTGGCAAATATGTTCTCCCATTAGTGACTTTCCCCTGTCAAACCCCGCTGGGTAGGAGGCATGGCCTGAGGTCCCCCATCAAGCCTTTCTAAGCAGGGGGGCATTGCCTCAGGTCCTCTGTCAAGCCCCACTGGCAGCCTCAGGTCCCCCGTCAAACCCTGCTGGGCAGGGGCAAGACCTAAGTTCCCCTGACCCAGCACTAGGGGGTGCACCTTGAGGTCCCCATCAAGCTGGGTGTGGGGCATGGCCTCAGGTCCCATGTCAAGCCCACCCAGGCAGCGGGTGCGATCTGAGGTTCCGCGGCCTGGTGCCAGAGTGGGGTGTGGCCTGAAGTCTCCTGTCAAGCCCTGTCGGGTGTGGGGGCACAGCCTGAGATCCCCTGGCCTGGTGCTGGGGTGGGGGTAGCAGCCTGAGGTCCCCTAGCACAGCACCAGGACGAGAAGCGTACTTTGAGGTCCCCTGTCAAGTCCTGCCAGTTGAGGGGCACGGCCTGAGATCCCACAGGGGTGGGGGAAGGTGTAGCCTAAAATCATTACTAGAAAAAAGTCATGATTATTCTATATAACAAAAGCCTAGCCGAAACTGGTTTGGCTCAGCGGTAGAGCGTCGGTCTGCAGACTGAAAGGTCCGGGGTTCAATTTCGGTCAAGGGCATGTACATCGGTTGTGGGCACATCCCCAGTGGGGAGTGTGCAAGAGGCAGCTGGTCGATGTTTCTCTCGCATTGACGTTTCTAGCTCTCTATCTCTCCCTTCCTCTCTGTAAAAAATCAATATATTTTTTTAAAAACAGCCTAGGTGGTGTGATGCGTTCTTGTGAAGTCATCACAAGATGGTTGCCACAAGATGGCCACCCTCATGTTGTCACAAGATAGCCACCACAAGATGGCCGACACAAGATTGACAGCGAGGGAGGGCAGTTGGGGGTGACCAGGCCTGCAGGGGAGGGCAATTAGAGGCAACCAGGCCTGCAAGGTTGGGCAGTTGGGGGCAATCAGACCTGCAGAGGAGGGCAGTTGGGGGCAATCAGGCCAGCAGGATGGGCAATTCAGGGCGATCCAGTTGGTAGAGAAGCAGTTAGGTGTCAATCAGGTTGGCAGGGGAGTGGTTAGGGGGTGATCAGGCTGGCAGGCAGAAGTGGTTAGGGGCAATCAGGCAGGCAGGCAGATGAGCGGTTAGGAGCCAGCAATCCAGAATTGTGAGAGGCATGTCTGACTGTTGGTTTAGACCCAATCTTCAGACATCCCTTGAGGGGTCCCAGATTGGAGAGGGAGCAGGCCAGGCGAAGGGTCACCCCCCCTGTGCACAAATTTCATGCACTGGGCCTCTAGTTTTATAATAAAATGGTCAAACCCTAAGGAAATATAGCACATTTAAATTTCTATGTACTTATTCAGATAGCTTCAAAATATAAAAAGCAAAAATTTTCTGTCTGATTAATTTTGGCCAGTGAGACATAAGTAGAATTGTAGTATGGTAATTAAAAAAAAAAAAAAAGCCAGTGCATGCCCTTTGCCTTTTCTTAATGTTTTCCTCCTTTCTGTTGGCTGGATTACAGCCATGATGGCTGGAGATGGAACAGATCTTGGAAATGTGGGCCCTGTACAGTGGAGAAGCCTCAGTCCCTCCAGAGTTTGCAGAGTAGAACCATTGCTGTAGACCTTATAGGCTCACTCCATGCCATTGTAATACATTTCTGTCTTTTATCAGCCACCATTCTGTTTTTTACACCAGAAACCTAATCTTGGCTAGAATGAGTTTGTGGAAATTAAGGAAGTAGACACTTTTGCAAAGGAGGTGGGGAAATCAAATCATCATGGCATTCCTAATCCCAAAGTGTTCTTGTGATGTTATTATAACCTTTAGGTAATCAAAATGACAGAAAAAAATAGTTCTCTAAAATGACAAGTAGCAATATATTGCATATGGTTTATTCATCTATGCTTCTGTCTCTTAGTCTCTGCTGACTTGCTAGTTAGGAAGGAAATAGAAGATTAATTTGATTCATTTAGACTGCCTTTCTTTTTTCTATTTTAAGCACTTAATGTCAGTGGAAACTGCTACATACTCCATTTGTATTCTATAGGAAATTAAATTAATTAATTGAACTATCCCTCAGAGAATGCACAGGTTCTAATTTCTATTCTATAATATCTGACTACAATGTCTTTATGATATATAGGTACTAGTTTTGTTCCTACTTCTGCTGTTGTTTTTCAATCTAGTGACAAGACCCAGAGAAAAACTGCACAAGCACAAATACTTAATAGGCAATTATACAAGGAAAAGAAAATTATATACAGAAAAAAGTCAAAGGAAGACTTCAGTATGGAAAATGAAAGCCCGTGACCTTGCTAAGTGCTGTTTGTGACTGGAACTCATAAAGCTAATGGGTTCGGGGACATTTTTATCAGTACAAAACCATTCTCGGGCATATCGGCAGGAGTGGCCCTAGTCCTAGAAGAGCACAGGAGTGTGGGAAACTCTGTTAATGAACCAAGTAAGTGGTTCCCCAACCAGGGAGTCCACGAACTCTTCCCAAAGGGCATGTGAGTGTGAATGGTTTATATAAAATCAATTTCTAGATTCCACATTCTTTCTAAAATTTATGTATCTGAAAATGTTCCTATGTGAAAGAAATCATCAACTTTACAAAACTTTGAGATATATTCCATTCAATTAAATAGACAAATAATCTCACCATAAAACCTTAATTTATTTCTTACATATATAAATCACACTGGCTGGTAAAACTGATTTGCATTGCAAACAATTATATCTATCATTTCGTTATTTGAAAAGAATAATATTCTATGTTTTTATTTTTTAAATAATAGTAGAGTTGAAGTGCAATATTCTAGTCACCCAAAGAATGCTTCTGTTCTCAAAATAAGTAATATCTTTGCTTAGCCATGTTCTCATTTGTTAGAGACACAAGGTTTACCAGGCATCTGGAAACCATTCTTTTAAGACATCTTCACTGTTTCCTTTGGTGTTATTGGGAGACATCACCCGGATATTATTAATCCTCAGTTTGTTTTTCCAAAATATCAAATCTCACATTAAATCCTTTATTCTCCATGAGGATTTCTGAAGTAATCGCTTCTTGGCTAGACTACACATTTTCTATATCAAATAACTGTCTCTACATTCCAGGATATTTTGCTTTGAGCTTCTACTTTTAAAATCCAGAACAAGATGAAGTGCTATTTGACATAAAATGGGCTTAAAATTTTTTTAAAAATCGAAATTCCTTATTGTTTAAAGTATTACATAAGTGTCCTTTCCCCCCCATTGACCTCTCCCCACCCCCCAGTACATGCCCTCATCCCGCCCCTCCTGTCTGTGTTCATTTGTTTGGCAAAAATGCATACATAGAGGTCCTTCGGTTGATCTATTACCCCCTCACTCCCAGCCTTTCCTCATAGGTTGGACAGTCTGATGATTCTATGACTCTGGTTCTATTTTGGTTCATCAGTTTATGTTGTTCATTATATTGCACAAATGAATGAGATCATGAGATATTTATCTTTCTCTGACTGGCTTATTTCACTTACATAATGCTCTCCAGTCCAATCCATGCTGTTGCAAATGGTTAAGAATTGCTTCTTTTTTACAGCAGCATAGTATTTCATTGTGTAGATGTACACAGTTTTCTAATCAACTTATTTGCTGATGGGCACTTAGGCTGTTTCCAAATCTTAGCTATTGTAAATTGTGCTGCTATGATCATAGGGGTGCATATATCCTTTATGTTTCTGTTTTCTTGGGATATATTCCTAGAAGTGGGATTATTGGGTCAAATGGAAATTCCATTTTTAATTTTTTTGATGAAACTCCATACTATTTCCCACAGTGGCTGCACCAGTCTGCATTCCCACCAGCAGTGCAAGGGAGTTCCTTTTTCTCCATATCCTTGCCAGCACTTGTTGATTGGTTGATGCTATCCATTCTGACAGATGTGAGATAGTACCTCATTATTGTTTTGATTTGCACCTCTTGGATAATTAGTGGCTTTGAGCATATTTTCATATGTCTCTTGGAATTCTGTATATCCTCTTTTGAAAAGTGTCTATTTAGGTTCTTTATCCATTTTTTTAAAATTAGATTGTTTATCTTCCTTTTCTTAAGTTGTATGGGTTCCCT